AAATAGTTTTATTTTTCTTGAGATTTAAATTTTAGGATTTATAAATTTTTATATACTTCCGTAACTTTTCGTAAGTTTTTACGGTGCGTAAGATTTATGTAAACCAACGTAAAATTTTTACGTAAATTTACGATTTTCTTACGCACCATAAGATTTACGTAGTTTTACGCTAAATTTTACGTAGGTTTACGATTTTCTTACGCACTATAAAAATTTACAAAAGTTTACACATATATATTTTTGCTGATGTTCTTCTCCGTTTTCTCCGAAACCCATTTACTCCACCTATTAAATTTAATTATTTTTAATATCTTGTTATATTAAATTATAGTATTTGAAAATTTATTATTATTATATTTACCAGTCTTCCTCTACATTCTCTACACTTTCAACATCTTCAACATCCTCAATTACTTCTCTTTGTTTACCCTTATCTTCTTTTTTACTATTATGTATAAATTATATTAGTTACTATTATAAATTTATTTAATTATTATATTTTTACTTTTGTCTCTTTGGGTGTTTCTTATCATTCCCTTTTTGGCTACGAGACATTTTGGTTTAATTTTTTTTTAATGAAAAAGATTTTTAGTTTTAAAATTTTTTTTTAAATCAAAGATTAATTTACAAAGATAATCAAACAAATATTTAAAGTTTAAATTACATGATGAAAAATTTTACGATTGGATAATCAAGCTATACAAATAATATTTTTAAGAATTAATTTTCAAAAATTGGTAATCATTCTGATGTAGACTACTGGTTAGGATATTCACTTTGGCAGCAGAGTAACCCGGGTTCGATACCAGTGAGTAGAGCTAACCTTCCTAGAGTACTGATCTCATATAAGATACAGATGGCCACTCAGGGGATGAAATATCAGAATGAGGATATTTTTTTTTATTATTTTATTTAGTTTATTGTTTTATTATTATTATATACTTATACTATATTTTTAGTTAGATATTTATGCCTAGTATGCATAAAATAGGTCTGGGCGAATGTCACAAGCTAAAAGGTAGATTGACAAAATTGGCGTAGTAAATCTATTAATAAATACTGGTTTATCGGTTGAGGCTTATCAGCCAAAGAAGATAATGAAATCCGAAGATCAAGTCCACATAGAAGAAAGAATGAAAATCAAGAAAGAAGATCTTGAAGAGAAGCAAAGCAAAGCTTTTATTTATTTAATCATGTTGTAAATTATCATTGTAAGCCCCTTACCTTAGATGTAGTCAAAGCTATAAAAGTATTAATATTTCACTCTTGTAAACACCACTTTCTATCCTACGGGATTATAATATTATTACCCTATAACATTGAATAAATTACATTGATAATATCATTTAATAAATTAAATTATTGTCAAATCACTATCGTCACACCTCTGGCGAGTTGCCTTATTATCTAAAAACCATCTATTTTCGTATTTTCATAGTAAAGGATACGATTCACCCCGTAATACTATATTTAATATACAGGTTGCATGTGCGAGTCCCAAGTCTAACTTGAAACAGAACTTTAATAAAGATTCGACCTTTTTGGAATTAATACAAAAAATTGACCTGGACCAGACTTTTAACATCTCTAATTGGGGCTTCCAATATACTAATTAATCAAAACTATGCAAAGTAATACAGTAGCACAGATTTGTGTATAGATCGTCAAATTCACTAGCGAAGACTACAGTAGTATCCAAAGTTGATTCATCTCATGTACAAACGATTTTTCTCAAGCAATTTATACACAAAATAATTAATTTAATATGTTATAAAAAAGTTACAGTTTAAAATTTTTTTACAAAGTAAATTCTTAGCTTTAATATATATTACAGAAAGTTTTTACTAATTTAATCTTTAAAAATATTTTAATTAATTAAAAACTTTAAACTGTAACTTTTTTCTAACATATTAAACTAATCGGTTTGTGTATAAATTGCTGAAAAAAATAGTTTGTACGTGAGATGAATCAATTTTTGGATTTAACAATTGCACTGATCTATGCACAAATTTGTGCTATTGGATTTTACTACAATACCTTATATAATTTTGGTTAATTAGTATATCAGAAGCCCCAGTACTGTATGCTAAAATTTTTACCAATCACTTTTGCCAGCCAATTAGATGCTGTAAAAAACTATACGTACAGTACGGGGCTTCCGATATACTAATTATATAATCAAATATATGTAAAGTATTGTGTAGCGAAGACTAGTGATCAAAAAATTAATTCATCTCACATACTAACTATTTTTTCCTAGCCATTTATACATCAAATGATTACTTTTATATAATTAAACAAAATTACAATTTAAAAGTTCGCTTTATTATATTTTTGTTTTTTTTTTACAAAGCCAATTCATTTTTTTAGTTAAAACAATACTACAAAAAGTTCTTGCTAATTTAATTGAAAATTTTAAACTGTAACTTCTTTGTTTAATTATATTAAAGGAATTATTTGATATATAAATTGCTAGGAAAAAATAGTTAGTACGTGGGATAAATCAATTTTTTGATCACTAGTCTTCATTAGTAAATTTAACGATTTGTTTTGATTAATTAGTATATCAGAAACTTCAGTACTGTACACTAAAATTTTTCAGGCATCATATAAATGGCATATTACTAATTGCTATAAATTTTAGTTCTTAAAGAGCCTGGTACAATTGTTGCAAGTGCTAGCATGTGCCTTAATAAAACAATTCCAAGTATAGGCGTGGGTTAATAATACATGTGCCATCCCTAATAATAGTTGTCTCGCAGTTTATAATATCTATAAATAATTTTAAAATTTTTTTAAAAATTTATTATAATTATTTTTAAAGCCAATAGTGCAGGTTAATCGAATCACAAATTATACAGTCAATTTATCTCCCCTTTCTCCAAAACGACAAAACGAACTTACTAAAGTCATCGTGGAATTTATTGTAAATAACGTTCAACCTTTGCATATCTTGCAGAATTTATCTTTTTGTCGAATGCTTTTAAAATTTCAACCACAATATCAAATACTGTACACAAGCATGGTTAAAAGATTTATTTCAGAGGGCTATTATAAAGGAATAAATCAGCTTAAAGAAATATTAGTTAGCACTGCTGATATTGTTCACTTAACGACGGATTTATAGACCGCCAAGAGTAAACATAGATACTTTGGTATTACTGCAACATGGCTTACGCCTGAGTTTGAATTTAGGGAAGCTTTACTTTCATGCCATCATATGCCTTACTCGCATAATGGTATTAATATTAGTAAGGAACTTTTTAATATTATATATTAATGGAACTTGAAAAGTAAAGTATGTATAATCGTTACGGATAACGATTCTAATATGGTGAAAGGTAATCATATCAAGAGTGTTTTCCGGCAGCCTTGTGCTGCTCACATGCTTCAGCTCTCTGTAGGAGAGGGATTAAAGCAGATTAAGTCTGTATACCAATGTCTCAAAAACATTCAAGCATTTTTTTGCCTCTCAAAACAAGCACAATAGTTACAAGAAGCACAAATGCACGTTGATTCAGCAAATTTGGCTCAAGAAACTGATAAAAATAAAATGATTAGTCCTCTTGAAATATTAACCGATTGTAGAATGTGATAGAACTCGGCCTATTTGGCCTAGAAAAGAATATTAGAACTACATCCAGTAATGTATTCACTAGCTGTGTCGTTACAAATTAACTCTGATACAATATTAAAAAAAGAGGATGAAAAACTTGACTACTTATGCTTGACTTCCCAAGAAAAAAAGTATATAGTTAATTATCTTTACTATCTAGGCATGAAATATGGTTGAGTTATTTTGCGCTTATACTATAACAATTTGGTTTTAACAATAAAAATGTTATAATTAGAGATTGTATATATTCTTGCTAGAGTACATATACTTCGTAAAAGTTTGTTTTACAGATACCATGTTTTACAAACAATCAGTTCATAGACAAGTTTACAGTTGATTTACAGACAGTTCATTTCATAGACAGTTCATTTTATTGACAGTTTATTTTATAGACAATCTTTAATAGTAAATAATTTCTGAATCAGTTTAAAGATTTTCTACAAAATGAAGTGTCAATAAAATGAACTGTCTATGAAATGAACTGTCTGTAAATGAATTGTCTTTAAATATACTTGTTTATAAATTGGTTGTCTGTGAGACAAGATATCTATTAAATAAACTTTTACAAAGTGATATTCAAAAAAATTCATGACTACATTATCACCGACCTTTTGTTCACCATTAAGTTTATTTTACTGACAGTCTTTTCGCCAACACTCATTTTACTGACAAGCTTTTTTTATAAATTTCACTCTAATTCAAATCTAACCCTAATAATATTGACCAGAATTATTTTGTCTGTAAAATGAGCTTTGGTAAAAGAACTTATTGGTAAATAATTGTAAGTGATTGTCGGTGAGTTGTATTAATCAGTATTTGAATTAATATAAATTTAAATATCCAATATTTGATTTGTATAAGGCTTCAAATAGAGTTCAGAAAAGTAGTAGTCACAAATTTTTTGTGGTCACCTTAATAATAACCGGGTAAAAAGGGTTTGTATTATTTTATCGACAATCATTCCATAAACACCACATTTTATCAACAATTGTTTACCGTTAAGTTCAATTTACCGACAGTCTTTTTCACCGAAGCTCATTTCACTGACAAGCTTTTTTTATAAATTTAACTGTAAAATGAGCTTCAATGAAATAAGCTGTTGGTGAAATGAACTTATTGGTAAATAATTGTCAGTGAAATGTGGTGTCTATTAGGTGATTGTCGGTGAGTTGATCGGATCCTTGTAAAAATTCACAATATAATCTCTAGTTATAATAATAATATAGTAAAATTAAAAAATAGTTTAGTCATTAATTTTTTTTTTTATAATTTTTTAAGATTTTTATCCAACATCATTGATCTTTTAAAGCCTTTTGAGGAAATAACAAAACATTTTTCTGGCACAAAATATTCTACTGTAAATCTCATATATCCTTATATTCGCATGCTAAAAAATAAGTACGCACCAGTAACTAAAAATAGTGAATCTATTGAAAATTGGATAACTCTCATTTATAGACTCTTGTTAGAAAGTTTTGGTGCCTCTGATAATACAAGCACTAGTAGCGATGACGAAGCTAGCATACCATCAGCCGGAAATAGAAAACAGTGGCAATATGCTCATCATAATATGTGTAGTCAAGATCGAGGTCGAGGTAGCAGGCGCAGTAGCAAATCTAAGGAATAGTGCCGAATTAGCTGATAATGATCCTAATACAGTAAAATCTTTTCCTTCTACAAGTTGTCAAGAGCTTTTGGAGAAAATGCATGCTACGATTTACTTATCTCTTGATGAATTGTGGTCTATTCCTAATAAAGTAGGATTAAAGGCTTTATTGTTAGATCCACGATTGAAACTACTTCCATTTGCTAATGCTAATTAATGGAAAAACACTAAGGAACAAATTCGTAAAGAGTTATCGATATTAAAAGCTCAATCTAGTCAGAACATCACTATTACCGAAATATCCACTATCGAAGAAGAAGAATATGATTCATTAAGTGCTGAATTATGGAACTCATTTTTAGTATCCGTTTTATCTGCTATTACTGAAGATGAGCTAACAAAATATTTGAATAAACAATTTGCTCAAAGAAACAAAGATCCTTTATTATGGTGAAAGAAGAGGCGAGCGAAATTTCCGTTGCTTTGCCATCTTGCTCGAAAGTATTTATCCATTCCCGTGACATCAGTCCCTTCTGAGCGCTTATTCTCCGATACTGGTGCTCATATTACAGCAAGAAGAACCCATCTTGCACCAAGCTTAGTAAATAAAATGTTATTTTTAAAACGAAATTTCTTATTTTTAAAGAAAAAAATTTTCATTTTTTTTGCCCTTTTATCGGGTTTTATATATATTTATATATATATACGTATATGTTTTAATTGTTATATATACACATATATATACATATATATATATATATATATATATATATATATATATATGCATATATATATGCATATATCTTTTTTTTTACGAGTTATATATATCTGCTTTTTTTTACATACATATCAGATTTTTCTTGTTATACACATACTGTATATATTTATATATATGTATATGTATGATGATCTGTTTGTTTTTGTTTTTTTCTTGTTAGATCTTTTTGTTTTCAATCGATGAAAAATGCTATATATTTTTTCAATTGACACTGGTGTATTATATATCTCCTTAAAGAATTCAATAAAGGTTGATATTCAATGCTATTGGGTTGAAATACATCCAAAAAAGTCGTATATAAAAAGTCAGTAGTCTCTTAATAAGGATAAAGCAGAACCTGCTACTGAAATTATAGCTATTTTCATAATTCCTGGAACACCTGATAAAAATTGGCTAAATTATTTTTCAGCAGATTCAATTAAGTTTGTAATTTCAGCACGATCCGTATAATAAAAACTATGTGTTTTATAATGACTGTTTTACAGACCATTGTAGCTATAATGTTAACATTAATAAACTTTCGTTTGAATGCTTATCCAACATGTTTAATGTATCAATTAAGTTTTAACAATTCTGTATTCTACTAGAGATAAAATATTCAATAATATATTAGTACCTAATCTTAATTACATATATATATAAATCTATTATGCCGAAATCACAAACTTAATCGAATCGGCTGAAAAATTATTTGGCCAATTTTTATCAGATGCTTCAGAAATTATGAAAATAGCAATAACCTTATGTTTAAGAAGTTGACTAGTAAAATAGACAGTATTATCTGTAAAGAGATTGTTTCATCTGTTGGTTAGTAAACTAAAACAACACTTTTAATATTTTAAAATAGAGTTCCTATTCATTATTCTATCTATTATTCGGATAATCCGTTTTACTATTGATAACTGGATAATTATCCAAATATTTGTCAGATTACCCGGATATTAATAGTAAATGGATATCCGGATAAATTCAATGGATGACAAATTTATCCTCTACTTTAAAATCCTTTATAGAAGATTATTAGAAAACACTGTGGTTTACGTATAGCTATCTAATTTATCCGGATACATCCGGATATATTTATATCTGGATACATCTGGATATAAATATATATCTGGATGTGAATATATATCTGGATGTGAATATATATCTGGATAAGAATATATATCTGGATAAGAATATATATCCGGATATATATTTATATCTGGATAAGAATATATATCCGGATAAGAATATATATCCGGATGTGAATATATCTGGATATATATTCTTATCCAGATATATATTCACATCCGGATATATATTCTTATCCAGATATATATTCTTATCCAGATATAATCTTATCCAGATATATATTTATATCCGGATATAAATATATATCCGGATATATATTTATATTCGGATACATCTGGATATATTTATATCCAGATATAAAATAAATTAATCTGGATAGATTTTTTGATTTTATTTATATCTGGATAATAAAAATATATCCAGATTCTAACTCTACTCTAGTGGCTATCTGTCTCTTCTGATTAAAACCCTATTGAAAATGTTTGGAGGTTGGTAAAAATTAAAATTGCAAGAAAAAAAATTAGAACTCTTGCAGGATTAAAGTCGTGTTTGGTAAAAGAGTGGAATAAATTAACATGCAAACTTGCTGCTAATTTAGTTCATAGTATAAATAGTCGAGTTAAGGCTTTGATTGAAGCCAATAGAGACTATACAATATATTAATAATATAAATAGGCAATGTATTTTTTGATAAAAAAAAATTAATAAAGTTTATACTGACTTTTCTGTATTATAGGGGGTCAGATACTTATGGTGGGTACTGTATAAACAATGCCAATCTTTTGAAAGGGGTAAGCCAAATCCTCACTTTTATGAAAAATTTAGAAAGACTGATAGAAGGGTGAGTAAAAATAAAAGAGAAACCACTTGACCAAGTAAAAGAGTGTGGCTTGAAAAAAATCAAAATTTTGTTGTTTCCTCTGTATTCTTTTTTTAAAAGTAACCACTTAAGTAACTTCGTTGACAGAGAAGACCCTTGTTTCTTTACCAAGATTTTGTATCCAAGGATACACACCTTCTGCTAGTTAACTTGTATACTATCACTTTTGGCTTGCATGTCGAATGCACAACTTATAAAGGAGTCCTGATAGAGAAAGCTATTGACCTTTAGGCAAACCGCTACATTAGACTACACCTCTTTAACAAAAATTAAGTTTTCTTTGGTAGGAAATTTTGGTTCAAATGATCATCAGAAAGAGTTGAATATTCCAAGTTTAAATAATAAATAAAGTAATTTAAAAAAATATATAATTATATATTTTTTTAGATACTGAACTCATTTATAAAAAAATTAAAATAAATTATTTTAATAAAATTTTAAGTAATTTTAATTCAAAAAAATGTTCAAAATTGTTCTATATACATTTTTTCACTACTCAATACTCTCCCTGACAATCACTTGGACCACCCTCCTCACAGAAAGGAAAAGTAAAAAAAGTTTACTGAAGAGTCGTGTAGCTACAAAATGGTTTGTAGTAAGGTCATAGTAGACTCCTTGCTACGTTCGGCATGCAAGCCAAAAGCTGAAAACCGGATTTGTAAAGAGTGAAGTAATATTTTTTCGCAAGCAGGTGGCGCCTTGCATGAAGTAAAGTATAATTCTGGTGGTATTTTTATTACCATTGACGAAGTTTTGTAGACTATAGTTTGAGAGGGGTCTTGGTTGTTTTTAAAGAGGTCAACGACTGCTTCGGGACTCCTCTCTATATCTAACATGCAAGCCAAAAGCATAGACGTAAAGGAGGAAAATGCAGGCGGCACTCGTTATTGTGTATAAATTTTGGTAGAAGAAATTTCGTTAGCGAAGCCTTTAGGACTCCTTGAGAACTCAGGAGTACAGTAAATTTTGAAACTTTTTGGTTTCAAGCCGCACTCTTTTATCCTATACAAGTGGTCTCCTTTACTACACTCTCGCGTTGCTACCAATCTTTCAAAAAAGTGAAAATTTGGCTTACTACCTCCAAATGATCAGCATAGGTTATACAGTGTTTACATTCCCACATCTGGCTGACGTGGTAGATAGCAATCACGTGTCTGGCATAAGAGGACATAGTGCTACCAGTTTTGGCTCAAGGCCGCAGGAGACTGAAGAGTCAGTACGGGACGATGACAGTACCTGATTAGAAGAACTCGGGCGAAGACTTCCAGAAATAGTAGAGTTGGAGAGAAATTAATAGTATAGGCGAAGCCTTACAATAGAGATATGCAATATTGCTATAAGTATATAATTTTTATACTCGTCTAGCATGGGTTATAATAGTACATTTTTCTTTTTTTCGTCGGGATCGCCAACTTTTCTTTTTTACTTTTTTTGCTGGTCCATTTATGATGGAATTATATTTAGGATAGTTTATTTTGTAGCTTTTTTTTTGGTTTCGATCTTCCTTTTATTCTCCTAAATGTTTTTGGTCTTTCGTAAACGTGACATATATGTTCTTGTTTATAGAAGAGTAGGAGATAGTTATTCTGCCCGGATTTTGGCAGAAAAAGTTAGAAGAAAGGTTGGTGATCTTGACGAGGTATACAACAACCAGTCAAATGATTGAGGGGAGTATCTTTAGTCGATACGAAATCTGAAGCGAGTTTTGGATCCCTTTGTAAGACAGATAGTTGTTATAGCAGGTCGCATTAGGCAGTACTCTGTATGCTTGGTGAGTTTCTATTAGAATAAAACACCACACTATTTTGGTTGTTATTTGTATAGTAATAATAATCTTTTAGTAGTTCATAAAATAAATAGAAGCAGGATCGCTTATAAAAAAAAAAAAAAAAAAATTGTCCTATATACAACACTGCTATTATAACCTAGATATGGCTAATAAAAATAATAAATGCAATATTTGTATATCTCTAGTATAAAGCTTTATCATAATATTAAATTTGCTTTCCAACCTTCTGACCAACTTTAAATAATTCTATGAAATGATACTATATTTATCCATAAACAAATATGTAGTTGCAGTTTACTTGTCTATCCAAATTTGGTAAATAAACAATACCGATCTTTTAGAGAGAGTAAACCAAATCTTACTTTTTGTCAAAAATTTTAGAAAACTAGCAGGAAGACAGGTATAAATATGAAAGAAACCACTTAATTAAGTAAAAAAATATAGCTTAAAAAAAGCAAGTTCTTTACTGTTTTTCAGTTATTTTGCAATAGTATACTTTGTCAATAGTGAAATCTATTAGTTACTACTAATATTTTATATACAAGAGCATATATTTCCTACTAGTTATCTTGTATAAAAATACTCTTGGCTTGCTTGTTGATTATATAAAGAAGTTCCTTCAAAAAAAAAAAATTGACCTTTATAAAAACCACTTTATTGTTTACTTATTATAGATTTTATTAATCTAAACTATAGTTTTCTTCTATAGAAAATTTGGTCTAAGTGATTGTTAGAAAAATTTTAATTATAAATTAAATTTATTATTAATTTTCAAAATTTACTTAAATATAAATTTTTATATATGAAATATTCTTTTTTTACTTTTGTTTTTAAACTTACTTTTTTTAATTATTCTTAACTAAAAATAAAAAAAAATTCTATTAAAATTCATGTTTTTTTTTTCAAAAAGATCAAAAAAACTTATACTATACAGTGCTGATTAAAAAACCTGGGTTCAAAACAAAAATATCTACAAAAAATTTAAGAACATCTAGATGCATTGTATAGTGGCAAACTTCAATTATAAACTAGAAAGTATATCATATAGTACTAATTAAAAAACCCAAGTCTAAAACAAAATATTTATATAATAAATTATTGAAATTCTTAGCCAATAGTTTTTATTTTACAAAAAGCTTCTAATGTTCTGATACAAATAGTATAGAAAGGCTTATTTTCAACAGATATTTGAAATCTAGTCAAGTATGTTTTTCTATAAAGCCAAAATTTGAATATCTATTGAATCTTATATGCTAATATTTGTTTAAACTCTACTTAGTAAATCTGGTGTTTATCCAAGATAAACTTTTCACAAAAAAACATATATATTAGAGTTCATGGTTTTGGTATTAGGCTCTTGTAATACTACTTTATTAATTGTACTACTTTTTTATAAAAATTTATTTTAGAAGTGGTAACAATCATCACTGGTTATTTGTAGTAAAACTCATATGCAAAATTAATTTTTTTAAACCAATTTACATTTTATAACTTTACTACCATAAATAAACTATTCTAAACTACATACTGTAAAATTTTAATAACAATCAATCGAAACATTAAAAAGTTTCATAGTTTTGTTTACTATGTACTACCATGGAAAAATAATCTACGTACACCCTACCCTTAAGCTTTATGCGATCTTATATAAATAAATTCTAATCATTTACACTAAGTATAATACATCTATTTACCTATCAGCCTATATAATCCAACCAATCAGAATTAATTATCAAGACAGTATTAGTGTGAATTTACGTTACACGTCGTTTGTGCTACCATTAAAGATTTTGATTACGGTTCATCGCATGAGTTGTTAGGTAAATAGATGTATTCAGGTTCGGATTCGGTATATGAAGACTCAGTACAGAGAGTGTCGACTGTATAAGGTTTTGATATACTGGTTAATGCTTCGTCAACACCAAAATTTGAATATTCTGATCTTGTAAGCTGATTCTCAAATTGATATAATCTTAAAACTGTTACTGCTTGTACTTTTTGTAATTCCACGGCAATATCAACTGGTCGCTATAATAATATACAAATTTCCAATTAATTTATTAATTAATACATTATATCCTCAGATAAAAAATTTCAATTTACTTTTCCATCTATGTCTTTCAAACTGATGTTGGCATGTCTCTTCATTAGAATCAGCAACAGTCTTGCATTATTAGTTGCTGCAGCATGATGAAGGCAACTCCATCCATTTTTATCAACCTCATTGATATCGCAAGACCATGAAAGCAGGAATTCCACCGCAACATCATCACTTCGTAGTATAGCTTGATGCAGTGCCGTAGTATAATTTTCTTGTTCATTTTTCCAATCAACATTGGCTCCTAACGATAAGTATCGAAGAGCCTCATGTAAATTAGTATCACCCATTGCTTTCCAAAAAGCCTAAAAGAATAATTTGTTAGAGTTTACATATGTGCTCATTATAACTAAATTTATTTCAAGTTAAATTAATCAAATTCTCACCAAATCAATCGAGTTTGAATTTTCATCTTTTTGCATAACAAATTCTTTATTAACATACTTAGAGATTATAAATTTTTCCTTGTCAGCACTATAAAGATTTCATAAATTAATTCAAAAAAAGGAAATAAAGACAGAAAACAAAATATTTCACCGAATATAACCAACCCAAATCGAAACTCCAACAAACCGTTCCCATGATGAATTCATCAATTTTTTCTCGTTATCTCCAACTAAATTTGCTTCAAATATCTGATTTGCCTCAAGATTTCCGAGCTTCAACATAACTTCAATTAACTCAGGTTCCCATTTATCAAGCATCAATGATCTAACCTTACTGACATGCACACCAAGACTGCGATGAATACCTGAACATTCTATACATAACAACGTTCCAAAATTTGTGCTCGCCCATTGTGGATCTAATAATATATTTTCATAAATTAATTTAGCCGTGAAAACTCCCTAATTATAATTTAAAGTCAATCTTACCTTTAGATTTGCAGTCTACACAACATTCATTACCAGGCAATTGCTTAATTCGTAAAATAGACTGTTGAATGTTCTGAGAAGAGTCATTATTAACTTGTTTATTTAAATAAATTTCATTCCTTTGAATATCTTGAGATATCTGAGAATCCGATTTTGACATCTGGTTCGTGTACAAAGCTTCTTCAGCTGCAATTTGTAAACAATATATCCAATCTTCCATGTCTGCCTGATTTTCGGCTTGCAATACATAAGTCCTTTTAGATATAATTTTATTTAGCATCATTTGGTTTGTACGCAGAAAATACAAATAATTTACAATATTACCTCATTGGAGATATTACTTCAAAACAAAATCTTCTATCAGAATTAGATACTGGTTTTACATGACAAACCCTTAAATTAATAGACGCTGACTCATCATCATCTTTTGATACCTTTAACAACTTTCGGTTAGAGTAATATCTCAATTTGAAGAGATGAATAATTGAAGTATACATACTTTGCCTGCCTTACTACAATAGTTTAATTGTTCCTTTGAAATAGTAAAATATTTACGTGTCCATGATGGTATTACTCTTTGATTTCCTTTCATAAACAAATAGCCGGACTTTTTTACAATTGTCGCATCTACACCCTGCTGCGTACGATATTTAGTACCTTCCTTGAAAGAGTGTAATGGGTTGTATGTTTCTTGAGCGCTCTAATAGATGAAAATACATGAAAGTACATATCAAATTTCTATATATTAAGTTTAATTTGTGAAAATCAAAATCACACAGACGTAAATACCTCCAATAAAGATCTCTTTAATTGTTGAGATTCTTTAATATCATTGTTATATTCTGTTCTTGCCTATTAAAACAAAGTTCGTGTTGGATAACATCTCTACTATTGGGTACCAAGATTATATAATTTACCTCATGTAATAATCCTGTAAATTTCACATTAATAATCACCTCGTAAAGTTCGCATGATAAAATTAAAATAGAAATTATTTACTTGTAACATCTTTCATGTGTGGCTCAAGATCCTTTAAGGTTTCATAACTCTGATGATAAAACGAAGACTCCGTGAACATCAAAGCCAAGATCTATCGTGAAATTGTAATATTAGAATTATTATTATGAACCTCATACACACATCGATATTAAATAATTTTTACATATTCCATGAATTCGAATTTCTTTTTCGCTTCCAATTGATTAATTTTTATAACATAATCTAAGTAGCGATAATGAAATTCTTTTCGCGTATCCGATACTTCGGAAGATGCCTAAAACAATAATGATTTTTCTCTGTCATTTCAAATTAAATAAATAAAAAACCAAAAAATATCTGATTATTACATCAGCAATCGCTGAGTCTCTCGGTCTCTTATTCATATACTTAGAAAGTGCGAAGTCTGCTTCATTACTAGCTTTTTCGAATCCTTTTTTTACATCCTATAAGATCACAAAAAATAAAAAATAAAAAAAAATAAATGATGATATTATATATATATTTAGTGTACAATAACTTCGCAAATTACCCGCACCTTCAAAGGCAATATCTCATTCTTTGCAAAAGATTCCAATGGCTCAATGAACATATCATGCATATGTGAATTCTGTAGGAATGATCATAATAATTATAATAGTGAGGCTCTGCTATATCAAGAAAATAACATATATTACGTTGGCGTTAAAATATTTAAAGTTTACAAGAATTCGACGACTTCTTTCAACTTCTTGAAGTGATGAAGCATATTTGATCAAAACCGATTCTATGCAAATCGATTCAGAATGTTACAATTTCAATTTAAATATATTGTTTGCATAATGAGCATAAGATATATCTACTAATTATTGAGTCGGGCTGTTGTTTTGCGAAAACACCAAGTTCTTCCGCGAATTGTAATTGTTTCGCTGTATATTCTGGTAAAAAAACAAATTATTCAATTGCTATCGCAACAACAATTTGGTTTGAAACAGTACTGTAAATAGCACTCAAAATCTTTAAATACCTTGGGCAAGTTCTGCACTAGCTCTTGCCAATTTCACGAGGTTCTTTATGGTAGTTTCTAGTCCAAACACTGAAGCTTCACAATCCGCCAATTCCTTTCGAAAGTATGGTGGATCTTCTTGACATAGATGAGGATTGAGGGGAGTTGTCATTATTTTTTTAAAAAAAGACAATAGATTGCAAAATTATAACGACAATATTATCATAAATATGTACTTTGTATGCTAATTTTTATCTTGTACGTAGCGGTTACATAACCGGAAGTCATGTGATTGTCTACCTCAGCGAAAATTATTGATCGATATTTTTAGGCTTATCGTTATATGCAGTGTAATGGATGTGGATTTGTGGCCAGAATTATCATAGTGCTGGCCGAAATTAAGAAAGTTAAATTTAGAAATTTAAGAAATCGTAATAGTATAAATTTTTTTTAAAAAAAAAAATTCAATGAAATATATTCTGGTCATACATTACTGACATTGGTCTAATAAAGTTTTAGGTAATAGTGGATAAAATCCTAGCAAAGAATTACTTCATGCTTTTACGGTTGTATGCTATAATCAATAAATCAACTTGGTTTCATGAAACATCTTGATCATGTTCTCTCCAATCCTGTATTTTGATTGACCGGTAGATGCAGTAATCGATATAAATTGGTCAATTCGATGCATAATAAATCGATATAAATCGATAATTTTCACTGTCCCTGCTCAAAAGTTGGTTTTACTGAAGTAAATAATAAAACACAAAGCTTCGAAACTTTACGTGAGAAAGTTATATAATAAATGTACTGTAAATTTCAGTTTTACAAAGCTAACAAAAATTATAAAATACTGTGAAGTTACATTTAATTTTACGTGTAACCAATCAGACTTCTTACTAATCAATAAGACAAACATCAACCCTGATATCGCTAAATTACCTGCATTGTATATATTAGATCGCTAGTTCTGACGAAAAAAATTGGCTCTATGTAAAATGAGATTCTACTCGAACTATCATGTTCTGATTAGATACTAATTAGATAAGGGTTCTTGTTAGAGACTGGACTAGGGATCCTCATTTTCTGCTGCGATAGACCCAAATTCTGCCTGCTTTACAAATCAGTTTATGCGATAAGTTTTCTATAATTATGCTGCAAATTATGCGAATCAAGCAAAATTATGTGAAAAGTTGCGACTATAATTTCATTTTTTATATCTTAAACCCGATTAAAACATTGAAACAAGCCCAGGTGATTAATGTCCCGAAAATAGTATGTCGTTCTAAAATGATAAAAGTTTTAAATATATCAAGTGCTTAAGAGTATTTAGCAAATTTTCTGACTAACCTAGCGAAGATGGTTTGAAAGCACCATATTTCCGTATTCAAGTTATATTTACATCGATATATCAATTTATTGAATCTTATTATGCCGAAATCACAAACTTAATTGAATCAGCAAAGGCCAATTTTTATTAGGTGTCTCAGAAATTATGATAATAGCTTCAAGCAAAGTATGGATATGTTAGCTGATTTGTCTTCGGAAGCTAATATACTGCACCATAACTTAACCCGGGTCACTGACCCGGGTGACATCCAAATCACCAGACTACAGTACCACCTGCTATAATATTCCCATGAAAAAGACCCGGGTACGATTCATGGGTTCAAAATTGATGGTAATTTCCTAAATTGAAAACAGCGATAATGTGTAACACGTGTTTGTTCTCTAGCGCACCCACAAAAATTGTTCCCTCGACCAATCAAATTTCAAGATCAAGTATAACGTAAACAAACGAAGCGAATCCATTTTTTTTCAAAAAAACTGAAATTTTAATTAAGAAACCACTTTCTGCAAAAATGTTCTTCGTGAAATTTTATTAGCAGTTTTATTCTCAGTAAAAATTACGTTGGTAGGTCAATTTTTGTACGTATTTGATACAAAAAATCGGACATAAGGAGTTCAGGAGGTCAGTTTTCTTTTCTGGGTTTGTATTATTTACGTGTTTTTTTTATTTTTCCTATAATTTACGGATACCCACGTATTGTTTATATAAACCCTCTCTCTCCATTTGATTTTTTTTTTTTCTTTAGAACATGGCCCATGTCTGATGG